ACTTTATATTCTTATTACATCCATTAGAACTGTTTAAGGACATACGCAAGGTACCTTAACTACTGATAATTTTTCAAGATATTCTAAATTTAAACTTATAATACCATTACATCTCATTAGACAAAAAATCAGCATGCATTCCAGGGAAGTTGAAAAGATATTAAAGTTTGAAAATTTTTGCATAATTCGAAGAAAAATGTGCAAAAATTACAAAACATAAATTCCAGGGGTTTTTTCATCAAAATTTGTTTTAAAAGAGATTTACAAATCCATATATAGACAATAAAAATATTGCACACGAGTCCTTCATATAGTGGAACTCTTCAACTCCAGGGAAGAACCCAATAAAGTTCCAACTACGTTGCGTATGACCTTAAGAAAGGTTAAATTAGACACCATGCATTGTGTAAAAATTTGACAATATGGAACGTGAATGACTTCATCCTTGCATATACTTTCCCCCAGTTTAACGCGGTTCTGTGGTGTTGTGGTATGTCCCTCGCTACACGTGTAAGAGGTCCCGAGTTCGAATCCCGGACGGTGCATTTTCTTTCTTTTTTTTTCGAAATACTTTTTTTTTTTACTAAATGATAGTATTCAGCATGTGAAATGAAAAATTTACAAGGTCTGGCTTGCACAAACTCATAAAATCATCATGATTACAGTGTGATAATTATTCCATATAAAAAGAATCTTCTATACACATACTAAAGAATAAGCAATCAAATCTTAATATCCGTATTTGCATATTTTATTTGCTTCAGGATAGATGTACATGTATACATTTGATAATTCTACAAATTCAGTCAGGGGGATCCGACCCCCCCCCCCGAACTGCGCATAGTTTACTTTTTCCCTAAGCGGGGGACACAAATTCTCTGAATTAGCTTGTTTTTTTCATAATTTTGCTTTGACACAGGATGAAGAAAACGTTATAAATATGAAATTAAATGCTTTGATTTTCATATTAAAAACGCTCTAAAGAATACAGAGAACAGAGTGAAAGGGTGGAAGAAAACAAGATTAAAACTACATGTAGAGGTACTGTGAGCACGGAGCTCAGTAAATGATCCCCCTGCCTCCCATATGATTGTATTTGCTCTAGGAAACACGAAATAAGCGACAGATCATTAAGTTAAATAGGAGGTCACAATGGCATTATTATAACTCCCCTGCTTTAAAAGCGGGAGGGTATATAATAATCGAAATGTCCGTCCTTCTGTCTGTACGTCCTTAAGCTTCCGTCTGTTACGATTTGGGGTGCTTATGTATTATTCGCGACTCCTCTTTTACCACTGAATGAAATTTAATGAGACTTTCACAGAATCTTTGTTATATTGTGCCATTATGCACCTTCTATCTACCTTTGTGATTGGATATATTTTGGGTTTTCCACAGCAAAACATTGATACTACCATTTTTCTATAGTATTGAAAGCTACCTATCCCTTTTCTGCAACTGCTCCTGTACTACTAAATAAAAAGTTATTGATACTTTCATAGATTCTTCATTACATAATGCCATTGTGTACCTCCTTTTTAAAATTTTTGATATGACACTTATTTTGGGTCTCCAAGAGCAAAACAGAGGCGGGTTATCATTTAGTGAGCTCGTTGCTCACATAACCCCTAGTTTCATAAAGGAATCTCTGAAAGTATCAGAAGGTAATTAAAAGTAGAAGATGCACAATGGCACTATGTAACAAAGATTCTGTGAAAGTCTCATTCAATTTTATTTAGCAGTAGAAGAGGAGTTGTGGAAAAGAGATGGGTAACTCTAAGCGTAACAGGCGGACGGACATCCCGATCACTTTAAATCCCCCCCCTTTTTCGAGCAGGGTGTATAATACTAGTAATATATAATATTGCTACATTTTTCTGTCAGCTCTTTGGGCTCGATAAATCTTTTACTCCTTTAGATTCTGAATCATTACATTGACTTTAAAATAGCAATAATTGTATAATTTATTGAGATCAACATATCACCACTTTATTTCAAATTAAGCTCAGGTGAGCATTCTGGCCAATAGCTCTCTCTTTTGCTCCTAACAATTTTAACTTTAATCAACAAGGGTGTCCTTTTTCTACGGGGGTAATTTTTTTTTCACCTGAGGTATGCAAATTTTTAGGGTGATAACACTTTTTCTACGGGCATAAGGGTCATTTTTCAACGTTGAATAATAACCAGGGGTCATTTTTCGCCATAGAATAATGACCGGGAATCATTTTTCGTCGTCGAAAAATGACCCCAGGTCATTATTCTATGGGGGTCATTATTCGTCTTTACACCGGAAAGGAGAAAAGCTAACAGACAGACAGACGGACAGACACGAAGCCTATATCATAATGCGTCCCGTCATAGACGGGCGTATGAAAAGAAAAAGCATTTCAACTTTATAACCAACAATTGTGCACCCTAACCCACAGGAACCACTCACCCCGGAGCCACATACTAGTATTTCAAAATTTTGGAAATTTTGTCATAAATAATTTTTTTTATTTCATCATAACGTATTGATTAATAAAAAGAGCACATTTCAAAGCATTACATAATTTTCACACTATGTACCCCCTCCCCCTTGTGGTGAATGAACCATTTTGGAGGAGGCACCTTTCTTCATCATAAATACTAGCATGTACCTAGATCATTGGCATAATACCCAGGAGAAGAGAAGATTTTCAAAGAATTCATGCATTTTCACTATATAATCATTAGAGCCCCGCCCTAACACCAGAACCCCTTACCCTGGGGTCATGAAATTCTCAAATTGGGAAGAAGCATCCTTCTCCATCATAACCATGTACACAGTTCATTCGTTTAATACCCAGGAGCAGAAGAGAGGATTTTAAAAAGAATTTATGCATTTTCACTATATAATCAATAGAGCACCACCTTAACACCAAAACTCCTGACCCTGGAACCATGAAATTCAAAATTTTGGAAGAGGCAGCCTTATTCAACATAACCATGTACTTGGTTTGTTTATTTAATACCCAGGAACAGAGAGGATTTTTAAAAGAATTAATGCATTTTCACTATATAATCAATATAGTGCCCTGTCCTAAAACCAGATCCCCTGACCCAGGGGCCATAAAATTCATAATTTTTTAAGAGGCATTCTCGCTCATTATGACTATGTACTTTGTTTCTTTGTTTAATACCCAGGTGCAGAGAAGATTTTCAAAGAATTAATGCCTTTTCACTATATAACAAATAGAGCCCTGTCCTAACACCAGAACCCCTGACCCACAATTATAACTATGTACATAGTTCATTGGTTTAATACCCACCCTAACACCAGAACCCCTGACTCAGGGGCAACGAAATTCACAATTTTGAAAGAAGCAGCCTTACTCACGAAACTATGTACTTGATTAGTTTATTCAATGCCTAGAAGCAGAGAAAATTTTGAAAGAAATAATGCATATTCACTATATAATCTATTCAGCCCCGCCCTAGCACTAGAACCCCTGACCCTGGGGACATGAATTTCACAACTTTGGTAGAGGACTCAATGCTGATTACAATCATGCAAACAGTTTGACTGCTTGATGTCCAGAAGTATAGAAGATTTTTAAAGATTGCATTATTTTAGTGGTTTTGGATTTTAGAGCTACCTCTAATTGTTTTCCCAAATGAGTAAGTTTTTGAAAAATCCATATAAGTATCTATAAAAATAAAAATAATTCGAATATATTATGTTTTGAAAATTGACTTGGAGGTAGTTCTTCGTTTCACTTCAAACCAAGTTAACGTTTAACTCACAATATTCGCCAACCAACAACTCTTCGGTTCTTCTTTTATTAAAAAAAAAGCGTTTATTTTTATTTCAAAGAATTTAATCATTATCTTATGTCTATGCTTAACACAATACACAGTTTCGTAAGTACAAAAGTGTTATCCGTTATCCTTTCTTGTACATATGCATTCAAAAGTCGTTAAATACTAGTAAAAGTAAACTTGTAATAAAGTTTGGAAGCAGACGTAACAAAACACAAATTACATTCAAATAATATGAAGTAAAGTCACACAGATTATGTTTTTTTCGTACACATTTGCACAAAGATCAATATCATAAACTGATAATAGACTTGCGTCAAAAATTATATTTTAAATATCTCGTTTTAAAATCAACATAGTTACGTGCTTAAAAGTCTTGAGTATTTTGAGTGACATCAAAATACTCTCACATGATGAAAAATTTGCTTAGTTTTTTTTCACTATGCTAATGTGAAATTTCTACTTAAATCCGTTCTCAGTTTATGGTCATGGGCTTTCAATAAAAACTATATCTACATAAGAAGGCCCTGAATAACCAATCGGAATGAACAAGGTCTTTCTGTTCTGAAGCCTATTTAAATTTTGTAAAAAAAATTCTTTAATAGAGAATATCGTGATAGAAAGCATCTTAATAAAATCAAAGATTCTTCAATTTTAAAAAAAATCATGAACATAAGCATATATCTCAGCAATTCTAAGTTATGTCTTCTTAAGATGTCAAACATAATCATTTAATAAACAAGATGTGTTTGTGAAACGCTGATGCCCCTGTATGGCAGCTTATGGCGAGGGTTGAATTCTCTCAAATGCAAGTCAAACTCCAAAGGTCAAGGTCAAAAGTGTTGGTATTCAAAGAAAGGTCTTGTTACAAGGAATACACCTGTGGAATATGAAAGCCCTAGTTCTATCTGTTCAAAAGTTATGACCAAGGTTAAACTTTTTAAAAATTGGGTTAAACTCCCAGGTCAAGGTCAAACATATTTATACCATATGACAGGTCTTGTCAATTAAATATATTTGTGACGGATGAACGCCCTAGCTTCAATTGCTCAAAAGTTATGGCCAACGTTAAAGTGTGGTGACGTATTATTTGTTGTAAAAGTAGGTTTTTAAAACCAAGCTTAATTTGTCATGAATTCTCATGATCGTTTCTCATGATCTATATAAATGAATATGCGAGAATGAAATTTTCTCTCAAAAATCATCTCTCATTTTATACATTTTCCCCGGATAAAAAGTGTTTTATAGTATATCTATTACATTGCACTGAAATAAAACCGTTTTATTACAATAGTATAGAAATGCACAAGCATACTACACATTAAGGTCCTCTTGACGACAATGCATTTACTGTAAAGCTACACACAAACGGGAAAATGACATATGCAAAATTTTTACATGATCTTTGCAAATTTTGTTGCAGTAAGTACCATGAAAAAAGAAAGCCCTCTTGGATTTTCAAGTATTTTGTCATTTTAAGAAAACTGAATGAAGAAAATTAAATACACTATCACATTTGGCCATTCACTTCAAGATCGAAATCGAGTTTTATTAAGCATTAAGATTAAAGAGTATATATTTACAACTGCCAATGTCTTTCCTTATATGACAATACTAAAAAATGAAATTCAATTTTTAATGACATGCAGTCGGTCACATGATCAGACTTTCTTGCGTATGGAAAGCAAACTGCACGAGACATTTGGAAAGTCTTGATTGTGACGTCATATGACGTCGTATTTATACGTTATGTTGCATCCAATAACAAAGTCTAATTAGAGCATTTTGTCTTTGTAATGAGAATAGAAATAAAAATATAAATGTAAGAAATAAAATATCATTTTTAGAGTGTCAATGGGATATGACATGAAGTCGGTACGTGATCAAATCTACTATAACGGCCTTCGGGCGTTATAGAATTTGATCACGTGACCGATTTCATGTCATATCCTAATGATACTCTAAAAATGATATCTTATTTCTTAATTAACATGTTTAAACATATGTCCAAATAGTATCTTAAAAACAAATAAAAAAAAAAAAAATTTAATTTTCATTTAGACAATTAATCAGACATAATTAAAATAAACCTAAATAAGATGTTAACATTCCAATGTTCATTAAATATGTTTTAGTGAACTTGTTTTCTCTCTTTCTATGTTTTTATTACCCATATTGAGTCTTCATTAACAGTTTTCATTTTTGTTTGGGATTACTTGATAAATAACGCTTGTATTTTTTAACAAAAAAATCATGTTTTTTCAGTGGGTGCTCCATATTTTCCCAGTTTGTTTTGAATGCATCAGCAAATCTTTTCACTAAGAACTTGCCGATGTTTCTGTATTTAGTGTTATCTGGCTCAGGATAAGCAAAACAACAGCTGAATTCAGTATTGCCGCTCTCAGCAGGTCTCATCAGTTGTAGTAAGATTTCTAGATCACATTTCTGGACAACTGGCAAGAAATCTGTATCAGCATATGCAGTAGCTTTGAGTAAAGCTATATTCAGAACTTCATGACGAAGTGTTACACTACCATTTTCAACTCGTACGAACCCAGGCAAGTTTGTAGCAGTTTTCTGCAGAGACTCTTTGGTTAAAAATGCATTAATTGAACCTATCCATTCGGGCAATTCATTTCCATATTCGTGTTTTCTAACACACATCAAGTAAACAAGGATGTAATAGTCCATCGCTGAATCACTTTTCATTTTCTGAAATCGTTGTGTCAATGTCTGAAGAGGGGCTTTGGTGAAAGCTACATCAGAAAATAAATCATGATGATGGCAGTATATCAAACTAAGAAAAGGGCTTCCGATATTGCCCTGGTTTTCTTTAAGTTTATCCAGAACATTGGTGGTATCAACTGTTTTAAACCAACAATTTGGATCTGTTTTACAATGACCCTCTTTTTGTTGCTCTTTCAATATAAGCAGCAATTCTGACTTTGTTAGTTTGTCTAAATCAACAGTAATGTTTTTATTTTGAAGGAGTTTTAGATTATGAATTTTTTTGATTTCATCAAATACATGTTGGTGGATTCCAACAGCAACTTTGGTATTCCTTGATTTTTCACGCATATTCTCCAGTAAATTTTCAAAACTTATTATTCTACTTGAGGAAAATATATTACAACCAAAACTTCCAAAAAGATTGTCACAAATCAGAATCGTTTTATCCTCCATATTTTCCTCTAGAGGAAGCAAGTTTTCCTCCATCCATCTTACTTTCCATTCTTTCTCTGTATATTTATTCTGGATTGCTTTTAAAGTATGAGTTTTACCACAACCTAGGGCTCCTTTACAGATTACGACATTCCCATCTTCAAGAAGCTGAAGTGCTGACTTTATCCCTTTAGTCACCACAATGCCTTTCTCGGCATAGCAGTCTGGATTCAGCTTAATACCTAGGCAAATATATACACAAACACGCTACAAAAAATCTGCACTTTTTCATCAACATTAACAATTAAAATGTCACTTCTACAAAACTGAGCAATGAAATTTTTAAAACAGTATTTTCAGCAATAAAAAAAATGGTCTCTATTTCATACTCACTCTGTATTTTTTCTTTTATCTGCGAAAAACCTTCCATCTCATCTTGTGCCTTACATTTTGATTCTGGATCATTCTGAACAGCTAAAGTTCCGTATTTATTCTTCATTCTGTTAAAGACATCATCTAAATTCTTAAAGTCAAAATTATTATCACAGTATTTATTCCACAGAGATCGGATCCTCTCAATGTCTGCACCAACTGTTTCTTCATCCTCTGGAGGTTCATAATCCCAGCCTCTCGTCGGTGGTTTGATGTTTACACAGAAGTTTCTTAGTAATGCAAATACCAGGGACATGTCCAGCTTACTGTAATCATCAGACGTCTCAACATTGTCAAGATCCTGTAGGACCGGTTCTGTGAAATGTTCCCCAAGGGATTTAGAGTGAATGATGGATTTTTCCTTTAAATCCTTGGCATCTATCTCCCTCCTTAAGATGTGAACCAGGTACTTCTGAAGAATGGTGAGCTTTCTTATTTTTATTTTCCTTTCCTCTGTAAAATATTCAATCAATAAATTTTAAACATTTCACTTTTGTTTAAAGATATTTTGCTTTTAAACACGGAAACACATTTTAGATACATTGTACTTAAGTATGCACGCACATGTAAATGTTATCAACTGTACAAGATACATGTACATGAATGGAGACAATCTTTTGAATTTTAAATTACTTGGATATAAAGCATTGACAAATTTATATCAAAGGTCTAACTTTCCAAAACACATTTTTTATGTACATATTCCACTACCTCTATTACTTATTAATGTAGCTTGATTGCTCTCGTAGTGTGACTAAAACATAAACGTTGATGCTTTATATCTAGTCTGTAAAATATTGATGGACACGATGACTTTGGAAGGGTCATTATTCCAGTGGAACTTTGAACACCAGTACTTGCCCCAGGAAATAAAATGGCTTTATAGGAATAATTTTTTAAATTCTACTCTCTTGCAAACATTGGAGGAAAAACTGATAGTTGTTTGAGACACCATTTCAATGAAATAGGTCATATAAAATATACAGTAGCGCCTAAAAAGCCCAATTTTTGGTTTGATTTCAAATTGTGGAGAATTAAAGTTCTTTACTGCGGCTTTTAAAATGTACCCTGGTAATATAAGATTATTGTGAAATGGTTTTTAAGTAAATACAATGGAAAACATGTCATCCATTATAATAGACGAAAAAGTCGGAAGTTAATAAATCTATAAATGTATTAATATATCAAACATTTAACAAGAGGCCCAGGTGCCACATCGCTCACCTGAGCAAATCGTCTAAAGCAAATCGAAAAAAACACAAATCAGATCAGAACTAAAAAGTTTACTGAATGGGGGGGGGGGGGGGCTTGAATTTAATACTACTTTAGAATGCCTTCATATTAATACAGCATATGACCTTGCTGTTCTTGATAAAAAGATTTTTTAAAAACATTTTCTTCCTATACTATCACTAATGATTTCTTTAAAGTACTTGAGAAGAAGACGATTTTTATAAAGATTTTTCCTATATATTCCTATGTAATACTTTGATCAGCCATTGTGGCCCCGCCCTACCCCGGGGGTCATGATTTACACAAATTTGAATCTACACTAGCTGTATATGCTTCCACATGAGTTTCATCCTTCCTGGCCCAGTGGTTCTTGAGAAGAAGATTCTTAAAGATTTTCCTTATATACTGCTAAACTTTGATCAGCCATTGTCTCTGGCCCCACCCTACCCCCGGGGGTCATGATTTGAACAAACTTGAATCTACACTACCTGAGGATGCTTCCACATGAGTTTCATCTTTCCTGGCCCAGTGGTTCTTGAGAAGAAGATTTTCCCTATAAACTCCCATGCAAAACTTTGATCGGCCATTGTGGCCCCATCCTACCCCTGGGGGTCATGATTTGAACAAACTTGAATCTACACTACCTGAGAATGCTTCCACATGAGTTTCATCTTTCCCGGACCAGTGGTTCTTGAGAAGAAGATTTTTAAAGATTTCCCCTATATACTCCTATGTAAAATTTTGATCAGCCATTGTGGCCCCACCCTACCCCTGGGGATCATGATTTGAACAAACTTGAATCTACACTACCTGAGGATGCTTCCACTTGAGTTTCATCTTTCCTGGACCAGTGGTTCTTGAGAAGAAGATTTTTAAAGATTTTCCCTTTATGGTCCTATGTAAAACATTGATCGGCCATTGTGGCCCCACCCTACCCCTGGGGGTCATGATTTGAACAAACTTGAATCTACATTACCTGAGGATGCTTCCACATGAGTTTCATCTTTCTTGGCCCATTGGTTCTTGAGAAGATGATTTTTTTAAATGCCATTAATTTTTCACTAATTCATAATTATCTCCCTTTGGAAGAGGGCGTGGCCCTTCATTTGAACAAACTTAAATCCCCTTCACCTAAGGATACTTTGTGAAAAGTTGGTTGAAATTGGCCCATTGGTTCTTGAGAAGAAGATGAAAATGTGAAAAGTTTACAACAACGACGACAACGACAGACGACGGACAAATTTTGATCAGAAAAGCTCACTTGAGCCTTCGGCTCAGGTGAGCTAAAAAGCAAACCCTGTTTAAGATTTTAAAAAAGGTTTTAAGGATATCCGATCCTCAGCCAGGAAGGATAACTCCAAAAATTCATATTTAATTTGAAATGCATCAAAATGAAGCTTGAAAATGAAATTTTTTCATGCAACAATTTTCATTACATTCATCTTCATAAGATTCAAGGTTATTTGAAGTCTTAAAAAAGGTCTTATAAAAGTTGACATTTGTACCCTATAAAAGGGAAAAAAAATATTATAGTTTTAGAGAAATAAGATTTTCTTGAATCCAGCCTTAGATACCAATAATTATTAGCATTACATGCAATGAAAAGTGATTTGTGGTGTTTTGCAATGATACCAAAAGCCTTTTACACTAAGTATTATAGAATACATGACGGAAATAGGAGACAAGAATTACCAAAAAAGTATAAAAATCATGACAATTTCTCTGAATGCCTGGATACCTATCGTTTTTTAACCTAAAATGTATTTGTTGATCAATTTGCAATTAGAAAATGCACAGCTGATATTCCTATTCGCTTTTTCTGCAAAAATATTGGAGATTCGACGATTTTCCCTATATAATATGATCATGATGATTAACTTTAATCTTTAACTTAAAAGAAATATTGTGAATAAATTAACATAACTCTGTGGATTCAAAGATACTTTTATGAGTATTTTTGATTATTTAACTGCTTATTTTATAAAGCTGAGGATCGGACTACCTTAAGTATCGCTGCCTTTGAACACTTCTTAAGCAAAAGTTTTCAATTGTTTGAGAACCTGTAAAGCACCACGTTTGCGGTAAAGCATGGATAAATGAGATTACTGTATATTGTGCTAAATTATGACCAATGAATTATCACGTAAAGTCGTTAACCAGAGCTAGTCTCCTTTCTTGTTTAAGGACCCTCTCTACACAAGTGCAAAATATTTTTTGGACATGGAGAAAAATATATTGTATAAAAGAGTTAATATTGAGCTTATTTATTTAATTTTCACCATATGGTGCGTGGCATTTACCCCTGGGAAAAATGTTCAAAGACAACACAGTGTAAGTGAATACAAATCACTGTTAATTACTTCAGTGGAGAAAATACATGTAAACAACACGTTCAGTTAATTTATCTTGGCCTTTTAAAATGTTTAGAATACTTTAATTCATTACAAATTGAGTAATATATTGTAAATTTTTATTTTTTAGAATTTATATCTAAGGGTAGATCACTCTAACTGCAGAAAAATACCTTTGAATCAGAACTCCTTATTGTGCAGTGTAGAGAGGGTTCTTAAGTCCCGATTAAGTAACGATTTGGTTAGAAATCAGTCAGCTGTTATATATACCCCTAGCTGTATAGCCTAACACTGTTAGATCAATGCAATTGTTCTAAATGAGATACCTTGTAAATCGAGTTTCTGTGCATTGATTTAGGAAAGGTCCAAAATTGAAAACTAACATAAAATAAATGCTCTCATCACTTCAAATAGCACTCAAGTTTTTCCAACCCTCAGAATGTAAAGGAAAACTCTTCCGTCTGAATTCTGAATCTTTTAATTAAGAAAATAGTTTCCATTCATACATTTTTTTTTTTTCAATTTGTTTATTTTGCATTGTTAACATATTCATAAATATTCAAATTGTGGATTTCCTGAAATATGACCTATGTTATGAAGAAATAAACTTTACTCAGTTATTTACGCTTACGTTTTGTTGAAAATTAAAAACAATACTAGTAAGACTTTTTTCTTTCTCATACTTATCCTTGCTAATAATATTAAATATTTTACAACCACTGAATATGTTCTCCTTAATTTCTAAAGAACCCCACTGACGTTTATCAATCTGTAAATACAGCTAAGCAAAGCACCTGTACAGATATTTTGAGTAGTTGTTCTTTTAATGACGTACATATCGATAATATCGTATGAAGTCTACATGTACCTCATCATAATTTTAATGATTACTTGTACAGATACTTGTAAAATATAAACATAAAATGTTTGTCTTTCTTTGTCTAGGACATGTATTACATGCAGATATTGCAGAAAAATAACATAACCTGCTTATGCTTGACTAACAGCTGAAGAAGTTTGTTGCTAAAATAAATAGACCCTATTTTTTTATTATTTCAATAGTGGGTGTTGTTTAATAAAGGAATGTTTTCTAAGTTTTGAATGAGTTATTGGTGTGTGAATCACAAAGACTTGTCACATAGGCATATTTTATGAAGCGACCTAGTGCTTCATGAAAAAATACGCCTACGTGCAAGTCTGTGTGATTGACACCCCATATAATTCACACTAAACTTAAAAACATTCCTTTTATTTACATTTTACATCTTTGGAAGCACCAAAAATATACTAAATATTTAAATTTCTCGCTGCCCTGTAACGTTATACTTTTACTTAAGTCACCGTAGCATTATTGTGATGTCACGTTGACGCACGTTTCTCCGTGTATATGTATTTCTATTTGGGATGTCAAATCGGGCAATATTTGATAATCGGTTACTCGAATGTTTTTCCGATCGAGTACCCGGGTACTCGGTAAATTGTAATAAAAGTGTGTTCTTGAGCTACATTAAGCTCTGTTAAACCCCAAAGCTGATTTTTCACGTTTATGATTGTAATACATACCAATAAAAATCGATTCAGAGGGATTTTGGGGTACTAAATTTATATTTATTAAAAAAACACAAATGCACGATTAATACACGAAAACTTACAAATGCTATACATTTCTTCTTTAGGATTTATTTGATCAACGCAATAAATAGGAGAACAATCTGTTGCGCAGGTTTGATGATTAAACTAACAAAAGAAAAGGAACGTCGGGACGTTGTTGGGATCGCTAGTCTTATATTATTACATATGTTGGTTGTTTCCTCTGCATACACTTAGACTAAACTTACTACCCAAACTGACTTTCAACATTTAATAATCTTTGGTTATTTCTAAACATTTTTTCACTTTAAATTAGGTAGCAGCAATTCTCTGCATGTCCCATTTTGCTACCGCGAATCAGCTAAATAATTTTAAAATGATTTTAAGATAAAATTGCAGACCATACTTAATCACTGAAAAAATAATTGAAGCCATCCATGCTATAATTAAGGACCACGATAGGTAAGAACACCTGTATGCCAGGTAATTGGTCACTAATTACTGTCTATACACGGCCAGAGGCCATAACCGGTGATTTACAGGAGTTGATGACGACCCGCAAATTACTGTATGCATATTTTAATTATTTTTTGATACGTTTTTGATAAAAATGTGAATTTTGAAATAAGAAAAAAATATACATCCGAGTAACCGAGTACCATTTTTAGTATTCGATACTCGGACGTTCGATCGAGTACCCGGTTAACCGGGTACTCGTTGACATCCCTAATTTCTATGCATGGGTATACACGAAAATGGTATTCAATTCAATTGCTCAGCTGGCTTAATAGAAAAACACAGCGAATGTAAATATTAGTACTTGATTGAAATAACGAACATAATTACCAGTATTTCATTGCTGCATGTTATTTCAACATTTTTATAATATCTGGATTTAGTTTTGAAATTCATCCTCAAACACTATTGAAATAATTAATTTTTTTAATAGTGGATGCAACAATGTTATTTGTTAATGTTGTAATAATCTAGGATATGAAGAAAAAGCATTGGCTAGGGGAAAGTAGGATAGACAGGGATGAGACAAATAAGCCAAGTATGGATTTAAAAGCTTGTTTTATAATATATATAAATATATTTTGAATCACCTAATTAGTTAATGACTTTATAAAACATATATTTTGAATTCTAAAAAAATGAAAGTCTCAAATTAACATATGGTTTACAAAATAAAAATATAAAAAATAAAAATGTTAAGATGCAGCTCTACAATATAGCATTACATAATGCATTTTAAAAGTCATTCTTGTGAAGAATCAAAATGTGCTGGAAATTGGTTCTCACACATTTTGTTGAAACTTGGTAGCATACATATGGCAAGAGGTCGCCTAATTTCGCATAAAAGTGAATAACAGGATAATACTAAGTCTTATGTTATTTTACCCCAATAAAGTACAAATAAATAATGTAGATGGTTAGCTTTATTTTTTTATTATTATTTTGTATATTTTACACAAGTAAGTCTTTTTGAAAATCTTGGGCCTATGGAAAATGCCAAACGATATCAAAAATTTCTTTAAAATAGTTGGAATCACATAACAGTGTGCACAAAAACACAAGCGCTGGTGAAATAGTTTGATGCTCTGAATAAACCCTAAATGATTATGAAGACTATATCTTAAAAACTGGAAGACATTATCTATTTTTAGAAGATAAATTGATTGTCGTTTGGAAAAAAATCTCAAAAATTACACACATTTTTGTTGAAAGTTATTTCTCCTTTTGGAAATCTTTTGCTGAAATAGCTGAATTTCAAATCAAACTGACAACAATCATTCTTGAATTACTTATCTATCTTAGACAAACCCTAAATGGGATATTTGGTTAACTACAAATAAAAGATATAGGACAAATAATTTTCCCCTAAATTGGCAATTCATAGCATACAAGCACATCCATGTGCATTACTTGAATAAAGGTCGATAATATTTGCATGGGCACTAAGAAAATAGTGAAGTAATATTTGGAAAATTTGTGCTGAATTTTTGATAACAGAATTATGCAGTTAATTAATAACAGCACACGTTTCATATTTCAGTAGCAAAGACAACTTAGTTTCTTCATAATAAAGGATTTTTTTAAGGTCTACCTCACTTGTATAAAATCAGTTAGAAATCTATATCCCCAAGTATCTTTTTATGTGCATGTTATGTATAATCCTTAATAAGCAAATGATTTCAGGGTTGATTAAGAAAAAGATTTTTTTAAAAAGCTGTAAGCAGTGAAATGACGCAGAGAAAATAAGGTAATTTAAGAAAGCATTTAACCTTTGTTTCAACAAACACATTACTTTTCAGCATTTAAAGTTAGTTAAATAAAAACTTTAAGTTACTTCTCAGTATTGTAATTAAAAGTAAGCTATTTTAATTTTTAAGCCAGAAAAAAATTTACCCTCATTCGATTCATTTGAATCATCCTCTGTTTTTCCATTTCCTATAACTAAGTTAAAATAAAATACTTTGCATACAGTCTGTTATTCAACTATTGAACTCTAATCAATTAATATTTATAAAGTGCAAATACACTCCCACTATACATGTATCTAATTTTTACCTTTCTTCTTTGGCTTGTCCTTGTTAATTGAAGCATACACCGGTTTATACCCTAATTAAAGATAGACAGTAGTTTTTACAAAGTAACTCTTAATATTTTGATAATGTCTTCTTTTTAGAAAATTTCTTTTATCTATACCATTACCTAAATCAATTGAGGGCTCATTGTTTTACCTTTGAAAATTTGTTCTTAATACAAATCTATGCGTAAAAAAGTCTAACATTTCTAATGTTTTGCTGATCGGGCAAAAAAATAATCGATGTTTGGCCACCGAGTAGGATGTCAGACCGCGTACGTTGCAGAATGGGCAGAGCTTAATTTCATTTTCTTTCCTTGTTGTACAACAGTGACGGACCGGGTGTTACATAATGGCAGACAGTACAAAATGCATGTGTGTCCAAAAAAAAAGGAAAAAAATAATGAAATAAAACTTAAGGTTTAAAAAAACATTTATTGACTGAGTAACGGCAGACAGTTTGGTTCTTGGGTCCAACAAACTGCATGTTGCCCTCAAACACAGTCAATAAATGTATAATGTTTTATTGATATTTAAAATGAGAACACCTTGAGCCTTCTTTGACAATTTTGGTAGAAGGATCATTATTCATACATGTTAACCTATTGTGATGAAAAAGAGGGAGATTCAGACCTCAAAAGGGGTAGCATTGCGCGCGTGTTGTTTAACGCTTGGATTATCGATATCTTTCATGTAATATACATGTATATTATAAGCCTTAAATGAAATCAGGTACCTACACTAATTAATCTTAAATATCAATAAGAAGACAGAAACACCTTAAGTTTGACATTAATTGTACAAATTCAATTTTTTTCATGCTCATCATTTTGCTTGGATTGGCTGCTTTACTTAGCCTTTTGAAGAGTGATCTTTGCTGAAATAGCCTAGAAGCAATAATTCTGAATGTTCATTCAGTTTTTAAACAAAACAAATGATCGCATGGTTTAATCTAGATCTAAAACAAGTTTGTATCTTTCGTTATATAAATCAGATTTCCCGCGATGACCGAAAACGAAAGTAGAGATGTGCAACATGGCGTGGTCAATCGAGTGATTTCTATTGACTTTATTGATAAAGTTGTGAGCTTCTGTGCTTTTAAAGACGATGTCAAATGTTTTCATCTAATTCTTAAAAGCTGCATCTCCTTTTTCATGGCAGGGATGTTGATTAATTTATCGTAACCAATGTAATCAGTGGTAGTCTTATGTTGTTGTCGTTGTCAAATCCGTGCTTGAAATCTATGTACAAAAAAAGCTTTTGTATGATTCCGAGTCAAATCACGCGATATCCAGCGAGATTTTATGAGAGTGGCTTCAAAAATGGATACCAAAGCGAACCAAAAATACTTTAGACGCAGCTTTTGTAGAAAAGCGGTAGATTTCTTAATTAAATCGGTAGGCGGGAGATGGAGTGAAAAAGCGGTAGACTCCCGCCTAAATCGGGAGAGTTAACATGTATGCATTATTCACTGTAATTTTCCATATGGGACTACCAAGTGTCTCATTCATTTCATCAATATGTATGTTTATACTAATTTCTTTTTTTTTTTACAATTTTACTGGGAATTTGAGTCTCTATAGGGTTCATGGTTATTATACATGTATGTTAACTTTATTCTCAAATTTATCAATCTAATAACTCAATATTGGAGGAGGGGCACTCTGACCCTCCAACATTACCCATCCAACCCCATCTACAGTGTAGGTCCAAGCATGACAATGCACAATGCTTTCAAATAATAACTTATTTGTTTTAGCACTTTCAATGTCTTATTTTTTTAGGAAATAAAAGACTAGTACACGTACCATCTAGTAGAAGCTCAGTTTTCCACAATAGTACTTTATTTATTAATCATGTTAATTTAATACTTTCGAAACTTAAAAAATATTTTTAATCTTTCTTGGTAATTTTCTTCCCTAGCTTTCAGAATATGTTCCTTTGAAAATAAAATACTAATTCATTGAAAAGAGACCAATTTTGTTTTTGTTTTAGCAGTCTTACAATTTTTTTTAATTTCAAATAATCTTTTTTTTTATTTGGCAATTGTGTCTGTCTAGGATAAAGAACAAAACAGAGAATTCAGTGAACATGCTAAACATGCACAAGAGGGCATTAACATTCCTTTATATAAAATGAATGAACAAAAACTAACTAAATAAATAAATAAAATGTCATATCTTAAAAATCTTCGGAATTCAAATTCATGCAAAACTGAAGACAAAACCAAATTACCTTGTTTCTGTTTTTCCAGTCATTCACTGGAGCCTCAATATCTGTTTAATAACAGTGAATAAAAAAGATATTTGTTAGGACTAGAATTGAAATTTCTGATTGAAAGCTAAAAACTGCTTCATAATTCTCAAACTATGTTCACAGTAAAGCCTGTCTAATCTGATATGTTATGCATTGATGAAAGATTTTACGGTGGAAATAAAGGTACAGGTTAAAATAAAATGAAATTGAATTTTGAATTCATAGTACACAGATTTGCACAGGTGTAAGGTTAAACAAACATTTTTTTTCTAAATTATGAAAATACAAGAGGCCCAAGGGCCTTGAATCGCTCTTCTGATAAATTGTACAGTCTATCACTTCTATTTGAAGCCTCTAACTCTAAGTATCCTAAGATGCAAGAACTGAAAAAGTTTGATGATTCTTAGCCAGTTAGGACTGAAGATATTTCTGAAATCAGTATACAGCTATAAAATACCATAAGTAGGTCACGATGACATCCTTTTTGATTTGAAACTTTCTGAGGACTCAAGATGCATTAGTAGACTGATGGTTCTAAGCCAATAAGTACCTCATATATTCAAAAGTAGGTCACTGTGACCTTCTTATGGTTGACATTCTCCATAAACCTAAGTTGCATCAACAGTCAGAGTTTGATGATTCTAAGCCAAAAAGTACTTAAGATACTTAAATATAGCCATAAAATGTCAAAACTAGATCACAATGACCTACTTTTTGGTCGACATTCTCCGAAAACCCAAGTTGTATCAACTGACAAATTTTGATGATTCTAAGCCAAAAAGTACCTAAGATACTGAAATATAGCCATAAAATGTCAAAAGTGGGTCACCATGACCTACTTTTTGGTTGACATTTTTCGAACACTTAAGATGCATCAACTGACAAAGTTTGATGATCATAGGTCTGAAAGTATTCAAAATATGCTTTTAAAACAATTTGAAAACAAATGCCTGCAAAATACAATAAGTAGGTCACAGTGACCTACTTTTTCATAAATATGTTTTAAGGCCCCAAGATGCATCAACTTACAAGATTTGTGATTCTAAACCTCTCAGTATCTGAAATAATGGGATTAAATGTTTTACAAAAGATGAGCTATAAAATTCAAAAAGTAGGTCATAGTGACCTACTTTTAAGTTGACCTTGTTTAAAGACCCAAGATGCATCAGCTGACAAAGTTTGATGATCATAGGCCTTAAAGTGTACAAAATATGCCTCCAAATCAATTTGAAAACAAAAGCCCGTAAAATTTAGAAAGTAGGTCATTGTGACCTACTTTTGTGTTAACATGATGCATCAACTTACAAGATTTGATGGTCCTAATCTTTATAGTAAGCAAAATATCACCGTTTTTATGAAGTGTAAATTTTGGATAACTTTAAGGTGACCTTGAGACAATGCCCTTTGCCTCAGGGTCATGCCTTGAACAATTTTTAATCTTCAACATATCCTAATCCTTGTATGTAAGTTTGGTGAAAATCTGCCCTATGGTTCTGGAGAAGAAGATTTTTTAGCAACCAGTACTTTTGGTTTTATTTTCCTGATTATCTCCCCTTGTTTTAAGGTCCCAACCCTAGTTTTAGTATAAAAGGTAGCCCTTGGGCCAAGGATACCCTGTGACAAATTTGACAATGATTGGCCAAGGGGTTCTTGAGTTATGGCCCATATTCTAAAAAGTTAACGCACACTGCACACTGCACGATGCACATCGCACAAATGGCCATAGCATTAGCTCTTTGGGCCTTTGGCTCAGAAGAGCTAAAAATATTAATAAAATCTTAATAAATGAAAAAAGAGCCAACATATTTTCACAGAGTAGGAGTTTGTACAGCTTGTGTCTTACCTTTATTTTCAGGTTCTAGTTGATCTCTTTGGGTTCTCACTGAATCATGATGACCTGCTCTTGGAAACAGAATCAACCTGACAGCATAACCCCTGTCTATAATAAACAAAAAGATACTAGAAATTCAAATAATGAGAGAATCATAATTAATCTCCTCTAACTCATTATCTCCTCTAATTCACATAATGGGAGGTATAGCTAGAGCTTGACAACTGTCTTACCATCAATTTTACAATAGACAGCAGTTAATCCTCACTCTCCACAGTCTTGTTGATAGATTGAGATCAGTCTCATCTTCTGCCTGTTAACAAAGAAAAATCCAAAGATTATTAAAAATGAACAAGAAGACCTTGTGCCAAAATGTTTACCTGGGTCACCTTGATTTTGTCATTAGAAGAAAAACCAGAAGTCTCTGTCGAGACGGTAGCTCTACTGATTTATACTTAAAACAAAGGAAGATAAAAGTAGCAGTTGGGACTTGAGACTTTAAAACAGCAATAAGTAAAACAATTATCCTTGCCACTCATCAAAATAAAAACTGATGCACAGAATTATGTATCTTAGTATAGTCTACTTGTGTGCCAAGTTATATTGAAATCAGAATAAAACTGTAGGAGGAGTAGCATTTTGAAAGAATTTCACAGAAATTTCTATTTTTAGTAACCATGGCTACACCATTCATCGAAAGCAAAAACCGATGCACAGAATTATGTATCTTAGTATAGTCTACTTGTTAGTTAAGTTAAATTGAAATCAGACCAAAACTGTAGGAGGAGTAGCATTTTGAAAGAATTTCACAGAAATTTCTACTTTTTGTTAACCACAGCAACACCGTTCATCGAAATTGAAATTAAAAACCGATGCACAGAATTATGTATCTTAGTGTAGTCTACTTGTGTGCCAAGTTATATTGAAATCGGATCAAAACTGTAGGAGGAGCAGCATTTTGAAAAATTGTTTACAGACAGACGGACAGACAGCTAGACAGACGATGGACACATTACTATCGCATAAGCTCTTCTGGTCTCTGATCAGTAGAGCTAAAAATCTTAATTCATATTTTTACTAATCCTAGTCCAAAAGGAATAATTATGTAACCTAATTTGAATCAAAACATGCTTGGGATGCTCAGTGTTATTGTAACATGGTCTTGCTGTTGTGCCACAGAAGTAATTCCTTTTGAACCTATGATATGAATACCGGTAAGTGCATAAAGAAAATTTGAAAATTGCAAAAAAAAAAGCTTTTTACCCACTCCTTAAGACTCTTCTTCTTCTCTTGGTTTGCCCTGGTCTTCCCCCTTCTTTCCTTCTCAAAGTCCTTGAAAACACATAACTGAGAGAAGATGAGCAATAATTCAATGTACACTAATAATCAAGTGCAACAGTGTACACTTTAGGTGTACACCTTCTACACCCTGTGCAGGGCATGTGTAGGTAATTACATCGAAAATTCAATATGGCTGACAAATGACGAGATGGTAAAACTGCAGAATTTCTTTTTCTGCATGTATTTGAGTTTACTATCAAGTAATTGATAGGTTAATTGTGATAAATTTGTTATTAGTAATTTAGTGGACCATGTATTGTGCATTTTATGGAAAATGAAAATCATCATAATTTGAAATATAAGAAATAAGTTTTGCAAGTTTGGGTGATAAAGTCTCTAGATGTATTTGACTATGACTAGATATTTAGTTATAAGGGTAATTATGGGTAGCTAGGTGTAAATCGTCCACATCGGGTGTAGTAAGGTGTAGAGAAATCAAGCACGCCCAATGCAATGCAATAATCACAGAAATTTAAGAACATATTAATCATAACAACATTATTAGCTGGAAAATCAATAAGCAAATAAAGACAATAAGATTATGATAGGAATAAGGTGGAATATTGGGGCAAGGAGAGGAAAGCATAGTTACTTTAGAGTAAGGAGGACAAATATACGTCGGATATAATTAAATAACAAGCTAATTCAGAGAATTCGTGTCCCCCGCTCAGGGAAAAAGTCGGCTCCCCCTGACTGAATTTGTAGAATTATTAAATGTATACATGTATACTGAGGCAAATAAAATATATGTATGTCAATATGCATATAAAGATGCTTATTCTTCATTATGTGCATAGAAAATTTTTTATATGGAATTTTTATAACACTGTAATGATGATTTTATAACCTCATAAATTTTTCATTTCACATGCTGAATACTATCATTTAGTAAAAAAAAAAAGTATTTGAAAAAAAGAAAAAAAAAGAAGGGTTCGACCGAGATTCGATCCCGGGTCCTCTCACATTTGAAGCGAGAGACATAACCACTGGACCACGGAATCGCTTTACCTGGCCTGAAGTATATGCGGAAGTGGAGTCACATACATGTATATATTCATGTTTTCATGTTTGGTATTCTCAAAATTTTAAACAATCCATGGTGTTTGATTTATTTAGCCTTTATTAAACAGTTCTAATAGATGTAATAAGAACATAAAGTCCACCGAGAACCTGTTTTATACGCAATAACTCTCCTCATGCCCCTGCGCTAAAAATAGCGACATGTAATTAATACTATAAATACTAATAAAACAAACGGGGCGGGGCACTTTGAGAGGGGCGAGAGACGTCCTAGGGAGTTTTAATATAAATTACATTGCATAAGCTCAAAATCTTCTTGAAATATCGCCCGGAAATAATAGTTTTACACACAGACAGAATGTATAAATTTACGACCTTGAACTTCGACCTTTTGACCTCAAAATCAATAGGGGTCTTTATTAGGCCACAGGGAGTTGTTATATAAAATTTCATTGCAATAGCTCAAATGGTTCTAGAGATATCGTGTGGAAACGAAAGTGTTTTAACAGACAGAATTTGCTTATTTATGACCTTGACCTTTGACCTTTTGACCTCAAAATTAATAGGGGTCTTCTTTAGTCCATAGGGAGTTGCTATGCTAAATTTCATTGCAAAAGCTCAAAGGGTTCTCGAGATATCGTGTGGAAACGAAAGCGATACAGACAGACAGAAAGACGGACGGACGGACAAACCCAAATTAATATCCCCCACTTTTCAAGCGGGGGACAAAAATACTCCATTAAATGTTCCTGTCTGTTAAAGTGGGTCCTGATAATGTTCCTTAGGTAAACCAGAAGTCTCTGTCGAGACTGAAGCTCTACTGGTTTGTACTTATAGCAAAGGAAGAAAAAAGTTCTTAAGAAGTTGGGAATTGAAACTTTACCACAGCAATAAAAAGAATAATGATCCTTGATTAAGTCTCTTTATGTTCTTAGTATAGTCTACTTGCATGCCACATTATATTATAATAAGACTTAAACTGCAGGAGAAGTAGCATTTTGAGATTTTTTAACAGAAATTTCTATTTTTAGTTACCATGGCAACACCGTTCATCGAAATCAAAAACCAATACACAGAATTAAATATCTTAGTGTAGTCTACTTGTGTGCCAAGTTATATTGAAATCAGACCAAAACTGTAGGAGGTGTAGCATTTTGAAAGAATTTCACAAAAATTTCTATTTTTAGTAACAACGGCAACACCGTTCACCGAAATCAAAAATCGATAAACAGAATTATGTATCTTAGTCTAGTCTACTTGTGTGCTAAGTTATATTGAAATCAGACCAAAAATGTAGAAGGAGTAGTATTTTGAAAGCATCGAAATCAAAAACCGATGCATAGAATTATGCATTCAGTGTAGTCTACTTGTGTGCCAAGTAATATTGAAATTGGACGAAAACTGTAGGAGGAGTAGCATTTTGAAAGAATTTCAAAGAAATTTCTATTTTTAGTAACCACGGCAACACCGTTCATTGAAATCAACCAGAAGTCTCTGTCGAGACTGAAGCTCTACTGGTTTGTCTATAGCAATGGAAGGGAAAAGTTCTTAAGCAGTTGGGAATTGAAACTTTACCACAGCAATAAAAAGAATAATGATCCTTGATTAAGTCTCTTTATGTTCTTAGTATAGTCTACTTGCATGCCACATTATATTATAATCAGACTTAAACTGCAGGAGGAGTAGCATTTTGAGAGTTTTTAAGTATAAATTTGATTTTACTTACCACTACACCGATTATCGAAATCAAAAACCGATATACAGAATTATGTATCTTAGTGTAGTCTACTTGTGTGCTAAGTTATATTGAAATCAGCAAACTGTAGGAGGAGTAGCATTTTGAAATAATTCCACAGAAATTTCTATTTTTAAGTAGAAACGGCAACACCGTTCATCGAAATCAAACTGATAAAAACAAATTATGTATCTTAGTGTAGTCTACTTGTGTGCCAAGTTATACTGAAATCAGACCAAAACTGTAGGAGGAGTAGCATTTTGAAAGAATTTCATAGAAATTTCTATTTTTAGTTACAACGGCATTACCATCCAATGAAATCAAAAACCTAAATACAGAATTAATATAATATGTATCTTAGTGCAGTCTACTTGTGTGCTAAGTTATATTGAAATCAGACCAAAAATGTAGAAGGAGTAGTATTTTGAAAGAATTTCACAGAAATTTCTATTTTTAGTAACCACGGCAACACCGTTCATCGAAATCAAAAACCGATGTACAGAATTATGTATCTTAGTGTAGTCTACTTATGTGCCAAGTTATATTAAAATCAGACCAAAACTGTGAGAGGAGTAGCATTTTGAAAGAATTTCACAGAAATTTCTATTTTTAGTAACCAAGGCAACACCGTTCCTCGAAATCAAAAACCGATACACAGAATTATGTATCTTAGTTTAGTCTACTTGTGTGCCAAGTTATACTGAAATCAGACCAAAACTGTAGGAGGAGTAGCATTTTGAAAGAATATCATAGAAATTTCTATTTTTAGTAACAACGGCAACACCGTTCATCGAATCAAAAACCGATACACAGAATTATGTATCTTAGTGTAGTCTACTTGTGTGCCAAGTTATACTGAAATCAGACCAAAACTGTAGGAGAAGTAGCATTTTGAAAGAATATCACAGAAATTCTGATTTTTAGCAGCAACGACATCGTTCATCAAAATCCAAAATTGATACACAGAATTATGTATCTTAGTGTGGTCTACTTGTGTGCTAAGTTATATTGAAATCAGACCAAAAATGTAGAAGGAGTAGTATTTTGAAAGAATTTCACAGAAATTTCTATTTTTAGTAACCACGGCCACCAAGGGTAGGACTAGTATAAAATGGCTTTTTATTGTAAACTTTAAATCCAAAAGTAGTCCCATGACCAATCATGAATTTGCTATTTTTTAGAAAATGATTGAGAAGAAGATTTTTAAAGAATTTTCCTATATATTTCTATGTAAAACATTGGTCGGCCATTTTGGCCCCGCCCTACCCCTGGGGGTCATGATTTGAACAAACTTGAATCTACACTACCTGAGCATGCTTCCATATAAATATGATGAATTATAGTTTTGTCATTCTTGAGAAGAAGATTTTTAAAGAATTTTCCTATATATTTCTATGTAAAACATTGGTCGGCCATTTTGGCCCCGCCCTACCCCCGGGGGTCATGATTTGAACAAACTTGAATCTACACTACCTGAGCATGTTTCCATATAAATATGGTGAATTATGGCTTTGTCATTCTTGAGAAGAAGATTTTTAAAGAATTTTCCTATATATCTCTATGTAAAACTTTGGTCGGCCATTTTGGCCCCGCCCTACCCCCGGGGGTCATGATTTGAACAAAATTGAATCTACACTACCTGAGCACGCTCCCATATAAATATGATGAATTATGGCTTTTTCATTCTTGAGAAGAAGATTTTTAAAGAATTTTCCTATATATTTCTTTGTAAAACTTTGGTCGGCCATTTTGGCCCCGCCCTACCCCCGGGGGTCTTGATTTGAACAAACTTGAATCTACACTACCTGAGCATGCTTCCATATAAATATGATGAATTATGGCTTTGTCATTCTTGAGAAGAAGATTTTTAAAGAATTTTCCTATATATTTCTATGTAAAACTTTGGTCGGCCAGTTTGGCCCCTCCCTACCCCCGGGGGTCATGATTTGAACAAACTTGAATCTACACTACCTGAGCATGTTTCCATATAAATATGATGAATTATGGCTTTGTCATTCTTGAGAAGAAGATTTTTAAAGAATTTTCCTATATATTTCTATGTAAAACTTTGGTCGGCCATTTTGGCCCCGCCCTACCCCCGGGGGTCATGATTTGAACAAAATTGAATCTACACTACCTGAGCACGCTCCCATATAAATATGATGAATTATGGCTTTGTCATTCTTGAGAAGAAGATTAACATTAATGAAAAATAACAATCAGTTAATAAGCAACATTTGTCTTTTATTTATTATGTTTATGTTAATTTTTACCCAAATTTCTCTGATAATTTAACACTGATTAACTACTCAAAAAACGACAGATTTTCTCAAAACCCAAACAAATCCTATTGCATAGAGAATTCAAACATACTTTACTTTTTAATTAATTTTGAATTTAAAAATAATAAGCGTCCAAACCCTGTTTAATATGAAGATTTTTATGGTACCTTTACATCCGAAACGATATTTCTCTCAAAAGAGACATTTCTGACGGGTTGCTATGGCAACATTGCATGTTTGACAAGAAATCTTTTATTATCAAACATAATTTATAATCTTGAATTTTTATATGAAATAAGTAGTTTATGTGTAAATGATTGCTTTTGGCTCTAATGCTGCATTGAAATTGAATGAAATTCCCCCTTTATTTGCCCTTTCTTGTGCTTTATTTTCCTGGTTTTAATGACGGCCCGGTTACTATAAATAGAACAAGCTATCAATTTTCTCACCTCAAGATTTTTTATCAGTGATGTGTACCTTATCAATATTTAATGGAATAATGACATTTAAAAGTACCTTAAAAATTGATATTTTTACAATTCTGCCTGGTTTTCTCGTAGAACCACAATTAAAACAATACAAAACAAGGGAAGAGCAAACACGGACCTCCAAAACATCAGAGGTGGGATCAAATGAATACAAATAATTAGTGGAAGACGACCCTCTCGATTTGTTTCATCATTTTATTTTGGTTGATCATTCGAATATGGAAGACGGTTGTAATAATTCAAAATATCGTTAAAATATTCATTAATCTAAATTCTCTTTCAATTACAAAAAAACAATACCTCAATTTTCAATGAAATTGATCTTTTTGAGTAGTTCAAATTGATCAGAAAACCATGTTTACATAAGATATGTTATAAAATGTATGTACAGGTAGGCAAAAATGATTAACTGTTAAAGAGGCTATAAGCCCGCGTAGCTCAGTCGGTAGAGCATCAGACTTTTAATCTGAGGGTCTTGGGTTCGAGTCCCAACGTGGGCGAAAATATTTTCTTTGATGAAAGTCCTTTTGTCCAAATATTAAAAAAGTGGACAAAGCATTATAAGTCCACTTTATTAGATGCAATAAAGTAGCAAATGCTGCGGGTAAGACAGACATTTTATGTACTTTTCATTCAGATTCCAAATGGATATATATACTGTACGAGTTTTTTGCGGTCATTTCAATGGATTATGACAAGAAAATTGACTGATACTTCTTTACTGGGAGAGAAAGTGGTGGGTGAATGGGATATTCGGGTCAAAAGGGGAAGGTTTTGTGGTTCAATACCCTATCCCGTCACACTAAATTGTTGTCATTTTCAATCTATCGAAGACAGGTATCCAATTTTCAGGAGAGGATGTTTTGGCAAGGCAAATAAAAGCCTGAACCCCGTCCAATATTTCAATTTCCATTATTTGCTCCTATAAGTTTTTGGTTCTTCGTGGAATCGTCCTCCCATTTGAAATTGGTGACTTTGCACTAGAAGAGATTGTTCCATAATGGTTTCAAATCGAAATTCAACCCCCGATCCTAATATTGTACATCTCTTTAGCACACATTGTGTACGTATGGGGAATTAGCTCAAGTGGTAGAGCGCTCGCTTTGCATGTGAGAGGTACCGGGATCGATACCCGGATTCTCCAATTTCTGAACACATTTGGGTATTTTTTTTTCATCATTTTAATAACAAAACCTATTAAAGAGACTCCACGTACATAAGATGGAAGTTGATATTTCAATCTATGCCTGTCTGTCTGTGTGTGCGTGTGTGTGTCTAGGGTTTCTGGGTAAAAGTTGGACCCGCTTGATTAAACACACGTAAGTTATGTCTGCAGAAAAACAAAAGCATATCTGCTTCTAGAAAGATAAGGACAATTAAATTTTCAAATATATATACATTTATATATAAAGGTCTTACGCAAGGAAATAGCCAATCAAAATGAACTTACTCAATTACAGTTTTATATAGAGAGTGACAATTTCTTTTTTTATTTTTTTTTTCATTTTTGGCATCTCTTTTTATAAACCTACAGTATAAAAGTTGGACTCATGTACTAGGAATATCACATCTTGAGCAGAAGTATCCCACTGAATTAAAGGGAACTCTTTTTTAGGTGTGTATGTCGAAACTTCCTGGGTAGTGTGTAGGCTGCTTTCCAACATGTGATACCCACGTGTATGATCGCTGATTCTGAATATTTTCCTCCTTTTTGCATCAAGATAAAATGCCAACCATGATACGCAGACCTAAAGGGGAAAAAATAAACCAGGAATAATTCCATGTGTTTCATTCAATGTTGCATAGAATTGAATTGCCCATTCATCTGAGGAAAGCATACATTAGGTGTTTGACAATAATGTACATTTCTTGACGAAATTTACACATACTAAAACGAAGATACAAAATTTCTTTGTAATATCATATGAGATTTCCAATGTTAAAAACAATATATTTCCCAATCATTAGCTAAAATAATTGCAGGTATTTACTCTTGTTCAATCACTTTGTTTTCACTGATATTACAAGGAGAGAGTTGACAGAAAACATTTGAATTGGACAACCCCTTCTCTCAAGGTGAAATCAAAGGATTTAATTTTATCTTGTTCTTTAATGAGGCAACTCATTATAAAGGTAGTGTATTTCTCTAATTTTCTTGATGTAATTAACAAAGTTTACTGAAATGGACATTTTTATATCACAGAAAATGTGCATATATTCTTAGGATTTTTGGAAAGTTTTTAATATTCAATTTAAACAGGTTCAGGTATAAGGTTGTGTTCAAAACGTGTGCTAAGAGGTGTCATGTGCCTCGGTAGCGCAGTAGGTAGCGCGTCAGTCTCATAATCACACAAGGGCCATCTGAAGGTCGTGAGTTCGATCCTCACCCGGGGCAATATTTTTTAGTTCCCTATTTATTTTGTTCTTTAGTATCCCAATTAGCAAAACTTTCATTCTTAGTAGCATGTATAGCTACAAAAAATTGTGAGGACGTTTGTTGGAGACCTCTGCGATCTCGTGAGAGGCAAAATAAATGGAAAACCTCCGGCGGGACTCGAACCCGCAATCCCCGGCTTAGGAGGCCGGTGCCTTATCCATTGGGCCACGGAGGCATTAGATGTCTTGATATAAAATGCAGAGAAATAGCTAAAAAAAAAAGAAAAAAAACTAATAATACATTTAAAAAAAAAAACAAACATAAGGAATCTTCAAAGGTCCACAGAAATTGTCCCTGATACCCAACTCTTTTTCGAAATGCACACTTTTCAACAAAAGACAAAAGGTGGTAGTTTCGTTAAAGTTTTATGCGTGCTATGCAAATGAATTAATGCATTTATAAGTGAGTATTTGAATATTAAAAATAGTAGACGAAATATTCCGGTTCAAATGTCAGATTCGAAACTAGCTGCAATCCCTAAGATGGCTGCCTTTACACTATAAAATTATAAGTTCAAGGTTTAGATAAATGAAATATACGGAGATTACGAACAGTATTCAAGATCAAAAGGCCTTAAAACAATACAAAACAGGGGAAGAGCAAACACGGACCTCCAAAACATCAGAGGTGGGATCAAATGGATACAAATAATAAGTGGAAGACGACCCTCTCGATTTGTTTCATCATTTTACTTTGGTTGATCATTCGAATATGCATATGGAAGGCGGCTGTAATAATTCAAAATATCCTTAAAATATTCACTAATCTAAATTCTCTTTCAATTACAAAAAAAACAATACCTCAAATTTCAATGAAATGGATTTTTTTGAGTGGTTCAAATCAATCAGAAAACCATGTTGACATAAGATTTGTTATAAAATGTATGTACAGGTACTAGGCAAAAATGATTAACTGTTAAAGAGGCTATAAGCCCGCGTAGCTCAGTCGGTAGAGCATCAGACTTTTAATCTGAGGGTCTTGGGTTCGAGTCCCAACGTGGGCGAAAATATTTTCTTTGATGAAAGTCCTTTTGTCCAAATATCAAGAAAGTGGACAAAGCATTATAAGCCCACTTTATTAGATGCAATAATGTAGCAAATGCTACGGCCCTGCGGGTAAGACAGACATTTTATGTACTTTTCATTCAGATTCCAAATGGATATATATACTGTACGAGTTTTTTGCGGTCATTTCAATGGATTATGACAAGAAAATTGACTGATACTTTTTTACTGGGAGAGAAAGTGGTGGGTGAATGGGATATTCGGGTCAAAAGGGGAAGGTTTTGTGGTTCAATACCCTATCCCGTCACACTGAATTGTTGTCATTTTCAATCTATCGAAGACAGGTATCCAATTTTCAGGAGAGGATGTTTCAGCAAGGCAAATAAAAGCCTGAACCCCGTCCAATATTTCAATTTCCATTATTTGCTCCTATAAGTTTTTGGTTCTTCGTGGAATCGTCCTCCCATTTGAAATTGGTGACTTTGCACTAGAAGAGATTGTTCCATAATGGTTTCAAATCGAAATTCAACCCCCGATCCTAATATTGTACATCTCTTTAGCACACATTGTGTACGTATGGGGAATTAGCTCAAGTGGTAGAGCGCTCTCTTTGCATGTTAGAGGTACCGGGATCGATACCCGGATTCTCCAATTTCTGAACACATTTGGGTATTTTTTTTTCATCATTTTAATAACAAAACCTATTAAGGAGACTCCACGTACATAAGATGGAAGTTGATATTTCAATCCATGCCTGTCTGTCTGTGTGTGCGTGTGTGTGTCTAGGGTTTCTGGGTAAAAGTTGGACCCGCTTGATTAAACACACGTAAGTTATGTCTGCAGAAAAACAAAAGCATATCTGCTTCTAGAAAGATAGGGACAATTAAATTTTCAAATATATATACATTTATATATAAAGGTCTTACGCAAGGAAATAGCCAATCAAAATGAACTTACTCAATTACAGTTCTATATAGAGAGTGACAATTTCTTTTTAATTTTTTTCATTTTCGGCATCTCTTTTTATAAATCTACAGTATAAAAGTTGGACTCATGTACTAGGTATATCACATCTTGAGCAGAAGTATCCAACTGAATTAAAGGGTACTCTTTTTAGGTGTGTATGTCGAAACTTCCTGGGTGGTGTGTAGGCTGCTTTCCAACATGTGATACCCACGTGTATGATCGTTGATTTTGCATCAAGATAAAATGCCAACCATGATACGCAGACCTAAAGGGGAAAAAATGAACCAGGAATAATTCCATGTGTTTCATTCAATGTTGCATAGAATTGAATTGCCCATTCATCTGAGGAAAGCATACATTAGGTGTTTGACAATAATGTACATTTCTTGACGAAAGTTACACATACTAAAACGAAGATACAAAATTTCTTTGTAATATCATGTGAGATTTCCAATGTTAAAAACAATATATTTCCCAATCATTAGCTAAAATAATTGCAGGTATTTACTCTTGTTCAATCACTTTGTTTTCAATGATATTACAAGGAGAGAGTTGACAGAAAACATTTGAATTGGACAACCCCTTCTCTCAAGGTGAAATCAAAGGATTTAATTTTATCTTGTTCTTTAATGAGGCAACTCATTATAAAGGTAGTGTATTTCTCTAATTTTCGTGATGTAACTAACAAAGTTTACTGAAATGAACATTTTTATATCATAGAAAATGTGCATATATTCTTAGGATTTTTGGAGAGTTTTTAATATTCAGTTTAAACAGGTTCAGGTATAAGGTTGTGTTCAAAACGTGTGCTAAGAGGTGTCATGTGCCTCGGTAGCGCAGTAGGTAGCGCGTCAGTCTCATAATCACACAAGGGCCATCTGAAGGTCGTGAGTTCGATCCTCACCCGGGGCAATATTTTAGTTCCCTATTTATTTTGTTCTTTAGTATCCCAATTAGCAAAACTTTCATTCTCATTATTTTCTCCCTCGTTTCACTTCTCCGCAAATAAATATTTTCTTGACTAATTTATTGAAAAACAAAGAAAAAGAATATACTGTAGGATTGTTGCGTTCGTTACAAATCGCATTTTTATTCAAAACATACAAATCAAACTACATGTAATAAATTTTACACGATAAACAATGCAAGGGCTGGGAGGGCAGGGAAAACCAAAGACACAAAACAACCTGCGATTCTTTGTAACGAACGTCGCATTAATCGAACATTTCCTGGTAAAAGTATTTATAGTGAGCGCTAAATCGCTCGTGCATGAAAAACCAGTTTTCTTAAGTTTCGAAGTTTCACGGAGAATACCGAAGTAAAAACGTAAAGAAATAAATTTATTTTCTCCCTCGTTTCACTCCTCCGCAAATAAATATTTTCTTGACTAATTTATTGAAAAACAAAGAAAAAGAATATACTGTAGGATTGTTGCGTTCGTTACAAATCGCATTAAACAAAGGACAGTAGGTGCAACAAATCAAAATAATTTTATAATCCAAGATTCATTGAAACCAGAATTTAATGTTCAAGATTGGCTTTTATATAACCGTCTTTGGCTTTATCCGTGACCCACCGACCATGTATTTTAAGCAATCGAACAGACACATTATCATTAGCAGCGGCTGTAACTCCGCCGCTACGTAAACTGTGTAAAGCATATTTAAAACTGTCAAGGCCAATTTCATTTAAAGAAGACAACAATATTTTCCTAGCTCTTGTATATGGCAGAGATTTGAGTTTATTTGAAACTTTGCATTTATTGAGGGATTTTACAAAATTTACATCTGTAAACATGTAATCATTGGAAGACTTATCCATCTCAGACATATCGATGTTTAACCAAAACACAGGGCACAAATCGTTTCCAGTTTTTTCGTATATCACCGAATTTCCTCTCCTGTAGATATCCGTTTTGCTTCTGGGAATATCAATTTCGATGTGAGCACTTTCCCAATTGGTATCACATAATAGAATATTTCATACCAGAAAAACACAATAAACACATCACAAAGGAACTTATCCTCGCATGGATTCAAGTTTGAAGAAAATTCATGAGTCCGACTTATACTGTAGATATACGCTTCCAGAACCGACGTTGATACCCTCTGTTGCACCAAACCTCCCACAAAAATAGCGACAGTAGACGCTGATGCAGGAAGATGCGTAAATGAATGCTTCGAACACCAGTCTCTGAATTTAGAGAAATATATTTCGTAGATCTTGTTCGTTGACTGAGATTTTGTATTTCTCACGATATGCTGCAAAGACTCCACTATGTAGCTAAAAGGAAAATCGACTTTAAACTTGTCAATATTTATCCATTGGCCTTGATAATTCTTCAATGTCTGAAATATATATTAACATGAAAGCACATTAAAATTTAAACCAAATTTGTACAGTAACCAATAATAGCCACGATATTATATCACACATATTTACAAGCAACTTTATCATCAAAATCATAAATTGGAGAGCAGTCCTCCATGATTAAAAATCAGTCATCAAAATACTAGTATATGATTTTCAGAACCAGCATGTTAGATTATAATCTTATATTAGTATTGCAATCATTCAAATCTAGGAGAACAGTCCTCCTTATTGGATAAAAGTCATCCAATCATTTCATTTCAGTATGCAAGCACATTGTACACTGGTTAACAGTCAACCTTTGTGTACTATTCTGTTCATATTTCACGATCAAAGCATGCAATTGAACATATAAATATAGTGTTCAACATTATAAATAGGAGAGCAGTCCTTCATGATTAAAAATATCAGTCATCAAAATACTAGTATATGATTTTCAGAACCAGCATGTTAGATTATAATCTCATATTAGTATTGCATTCATTCAAATCTAGGAGAGCAGTCCTCCTTATTGGATAACAGTCATCCAATCATTTCATTTCAGTATACATGCACATTGTACACTGGTTAACAGTCAATCTTTGTGTACTATTTTGTCCATATTTCACTATCAAAACATGCAAATGAACATATATAGTGTTAAAGTGACTTAATTACGAAACATCCAATCCCAGTGCTATAGCATTACTGATTAATTTGCAAATATCTTACTCCTTTTTGGATAACAGTCATCCAATTATTTCATGTAAGTATGCATGCACATTGTACACTGGTTAGCAGTCAACCTTTGTGTACTATTATGTCCATATTTCACTATCAAAACATGCAAATGAACATATAAATACATCCGTATAGTGTTAAATGACTTAATTACGAAGCATCCAATTGCGGTGCTATAAAATTACTAAATTTGTTAGCACAAATACGTTATTTTTATCAGAACATGAACTTTTTTTTTTTTAATACCCATATCTTTCACAAACCACAAGAACATTAATTGTTTTTTGTTTTTTTTCAAGGAAGACCAAAAAGCTGCTGAATTCCACTTTGGAACAATTAAGGCACCATATACACTGTAGAACCGTAATTTAATACATGTAAATGTTTTAGTGACCTCCCTATCAAATTAATAAATGGGAGGAACAATCCAAATCCTGTGACCAGTCGAAAGAAAATGCGTCGACTGCGCTTGTTCCATGGATCCTAAACAAAGAAAATTTATTTATTTATTTATTTATTTATATTTATTTAGTTATTTTTATTTTATTTTATTATTATTATTATTATTATTATTATTATTATTATTATTATTATTATTATTATTATTATTATTATTTTTAATTTGCAAAGATATCGCAAATAAAACGTCCCCAAACCTTATTGAAAAATGCAACAATATAATTGCTTATGCCCCAAACGACAAAGTTTGCTTCCACTTTTTGCTCTGGTAAAACCCAACCTACAGAAAAAGTGAATATAGTAAAAGCAAGAGATAATAAATCCGCATTCATTGTTCCGATCTGCGAAATTCTACATGTAACATCGTTTTGATTGTGTATATGTAATTTTACAAATTTTATTTTCTAAACAAAACCCCAAAATTTTCACGAACATTTCAACTGTTTTAAGTTCTCTAAAAGTTGAACTTCGAACTCTCTCTAGTTCGGCCCACATAAAATGCAAAACTTTCTTAGTCGAATCTAACATCACTCCACCCCCTTTGAAATCACGAAATCACTAGCATCAGTAAAAACAATGCGTTCCGTATGCGATACCACGGGGAAATAACCCTGGCGGGAATATATATAGGCTTTTAACAAAAGAACTCGAGTTCACACCTTAGAAGCAGTGAAATTTTTATATTTTCATCGAAACATGATGCATTAGCAATAAGCATTGGCAGTTTTTTTTTTTTGTTTTTTTTTTTTTATTATTATTATTATTATTATTATTATCTTGCTATACAAAACTCTCTTATTTATATCGCGGGATACCAATCAAAAAGACTTCTTAATTCTACTCAAAACCGAGCCATTCTAACTTTGCATAGAACTCTTACTTGTAGCATCAATAATAATAAACCG